CTCTCCGGCCCTGGTCTGGATGCCGCCAGGAGCCCGCGTGGACTCGAAGTAGCTTTGGCTACTGAATAAATGCCAGACCCTCCTCGTCTGATGCCAGCATGAAAGCTTGGGCATCACGGATGGACCGACCCCTCCCAGCACCGCTTGCTGCTGACCCTGAGAAGCGGAGGACTGAAAGCCCAGGGGAGCTGGAAGCAAATCAAGACACAACTTCCCCATCATCAAGCGGCCAAACCACGATGCCACGTGGAAGGTGCCTGGAGGGAGCGGAGCATGCGGGGCTGGGAGAGGCGGGCAGGGCATCCTGACAGCGCACGCGGGCACGGAGAGACCCGCTCCAGACCCTGCCCCTCGGTGGGGAAGAGTCATGCACAGCTTCAGCCTCGCAGGGAAAGGGCGCGTGGAAAGCACAGAAACCACCTCCGGCTTCGTTACGGGTGATCCCAGGTGAACAGCCAGCCTTCAGAATAAAGGGAGCAGCAACGCGACGCGCCAGGCCAGGGATGCTGAACTAAACGGGGCAGCCAAATGCAAGGGAGCTTGGCCAGGATGCCCCAATTACACCCCTCTCCAGCGAAGAAGCACTTGGGGTCCGCGCAGTCCTGCACAGAGCGCGTGCAATGTGCACCCACGGGCGCAGCGCGGAGGGCAAGTTGCCTATTCAGCCACGGGACTGATTTGCTGAACTGAACTTTCTTTTTATTGTTATTTTTCTTTTGAATCTCTCAGTCAGTTGAGACATTCCTCGTTATAGAGCCATACACCAACGACGCGCGAATGACCGCCAGATGCCAACCCAGCGCCTCCTAAAATACGACTAGGTCCAACTTCCTCTCCTTAGTTGTGCCCAAGCCCGTGTGCGCGTGTGCGTGCATACGTGAGTGCTCGTGTGTATGTATATGCACGCATGTGTGCGCGTGTGCGTGCGTGTCTAAATTTCATTTACTTGTAACACTAGAAGTTAGTTAATTAATTAAATGCTGGCTAGTGGCTGCCAGTCACTGGAAGGATTCAGCTCCTGAGTCCTGTACATGATCTGAATGCCCCAAAAGAAAACCGAAAAGGGAAGGAAGAGCCGCTTCCAAACCACAGAAAGTGCAAGAGGACGTTTCTCCCCAAACCAACATGAAGAAATCGGACTCCAAGCTATTTAATGCATGCATGAAATGCCAGAAAGAAACCCCAGCCCGAGCACTGCACCCATTACAACGAGGCAAATGGCCTGAACACCGCGAGCGCTCGCTCGTCGCGTTAGCCCGCCCGGCGTGCCGTACTCGGGGCTGCTAGGTCATTTCGCATAAATGTAAGTACTGGATGAATGATGCTCACAAATGGGGCTGTCTCCAGCGTTTCCATTGGGACACACAGCTAAGGTAACACGGTGACTGTTGTTATCGACATTAACACTGGCAGCGTCAAGGAGTCGTGGTCCCAAACGGTTGTGGAAAGCCCCCGCCAGTCCTGGGGGGCCTTGCTCCAGCGAGCCACGGCAAAGCCAATGCCCCTTTCCCCGAGGAGAAGGCAAAGGAGAGGGATCGCGGGGCCCAAACACAGTTCAACCATAAACACAGTGGCCTGGCTCGGCGAGCGACGTTTCGGGGGTTAAAAACCCAGCCACGTCCGGGGCAGGGGCGCAGGGAGCCACGTGGGTTTGTTCTTTAAAAACAGGGTTTCACTGGTTACACCGTCACTAGGATCATGTCATGCAGCCGACAACACACCTCTGTACAGGTCCCCGGCCCCGGGCGCTGGGCTCAGACCGGCGTGGTTCGTCGGTTGGCCGGGTTGTTGTGCAGCGACTCCTTGAACTCTTTGGGGATGGAGTTATGGACCTGTAAAAACCCGTGGTCCCGCTCCGAGTTGAGCAGCGTCCCCATGGTCACCTTGGACGGATCCCGCGAGAGGGTGAACATGGAGATGTCGGTGGAGGGGATGGTGTTGAAGCCTTTGCTGACGGGAGACAAGTCCCTGGAGCGAGGCTCCGTGGAGCGGGAGCTGGACCGCCGGCGGAAACGGTACCGGTAGGTGGGGAGGCGCGTGAAGGCCGACTTCTTCAGCAGCTCCGAGTGGGACTTGGCCCGGATCTGGCGATGCTTCTCGATGTACATGTGCACGGCGATCACCCCCACCATCTCCGCGATGATGAAGGACAAGGCGCCGAAGTAGAAGGACCAGCCGTACGAGTAGCTCTTCTTGGAGTCGCTCTGCCCGGGGTCGCCCGCATTGGCGGAGATGTAGACGATGATCCCGATGATGTTACTGAGACCTGCAGGAGAGACGGGGCAGGGAGAGCGCTTGACAAGCAGCACTGGCACCCGGGCTAACACCAGAGTTGGCCCAGCCTATTCGTGGCAGGCCGTGGCAAGGTCGGAGCTAGAGCTGGTCGGGCATTTTCTGCACGTGCCTCTACCAGATGCTATGCCGGCGTATGCACAAATCCTGAGCTGCGGCACCGTGGGCGGTTCATGATTGCTGCTTCACCGGGGGGACCCTCCTCACCGGCCACCCGTCTGGGGTGGCTTTTACCGACACAGGGCTCTTATTGCATTTATTACTGCCCCCGGAAACCCACCCTGGGCCTGTCCTAGATTCAGAGAGCTGAAATGGGGGCTGGCTTCTCTTGCAGTCCTGCACCTCAAGCTTCTTGGCTCAGGCTGCGTCACTGCAACTCAGCGCGACTGAAGAGCCTGTTGCTCCCTTGCAGCTTTCCAGATGCAGGAGCCTCCACCCTCCCTGCACCGCTGCATGGGCACTACATGGGCACGGGGCAAGGAGCCTCCCACACCCAACACGGAGCAGCACAACCCCGCCGGGCAGGGCCGCACGGGCACTCGCGGAGCCGCCGGGGGTGCAGGCACGATGCGGGGTGTTTCTGAGCAAGCCCTGCCGCTTCCTGGGCTTTGCAGCCTGCGGGTACACGTGCGAGAGAGGGAGAGGACGGAGCGCTCCTATCACTGCTGCTCCTGGGAGGACCTGGAGGCTTTGCTGGGGAGCGGGGCCGGGCGGCAGCTGGCTGGGGAGCGCTCGGCCGCACGCTGCAGTCCCTTAATGGCTCCGCGAGGCTCCTTCTGTCGCTCCCCCCGCCCCACCGCCAGCTGCAGATCGGAAGCAAACCGTCTCTTTGGGAGGCAAACCGAACCGAACAGACCCTGCCGCATGAAATAACGAGGCGGGACGTGGGGGAAACGCGAGCCGGGAGGAACGTGCCTATCCAAGGACACTGCTGTCCCCCCGGGACTGCGCTGAAGCTGTCGGCACCCCTGCGCCCCACGCTCGGGGCGAGCTCCCACCAGCCCACAGGAGGGGACGGCCCTGATCCTGGATGGACGCAGCCGGGGGCCATCGCCGGCAGTGACTTGCTTGGCACTCACCTGCCGACACGAAGAAGATCCCGGCGCTGAGGATGACGTTGTGCTTGCTCTTGTAGAACTCGCTGGCCGCCACGCACAGGCCCCCGAAGAACAGCAAGCCCACGCTCAGGATGGGGAAGATGCTGGATGCTCGGACAGCCCCTGGCAGGGGGAGAGAGGAAGGGCACGAAGCCACGACTTACAAACCAGTAGCCGAGTCCCCTCCGCCAGCCCGCCCCGGGGACAGATTGGGAGCCCGGTGCGCGCAGAACGGCGTCGCCGCCTTTCCCAGCCGGACTCACGACGGCCCAGGCTGTAAAAGGTCACTCGCTGCCAGCTGCTGCCGAGGCGCGGGTGCTTAATCCGCCGCATTAGCTTTGGGGGTCTCTCCTTCCGATCAGGGCTGCTATTAAAAGCCGAGGGCTTCAGCTCAGCCCCATTAAAATGCTATTCTGGGGGAGTTTTAAGCAGGCGCTTTTTATTTTAAACGCGAGAGAGAAAAAAGGGAGAAGTTAAAAGCTCATCTGCTAAAATTATCCACCCCTTCTGTTAAACGCCGGGGCCCTCGGACAGCGGGAAAGAGCTCCCGGCTCTGCCAGGCAGATGGACCGGACAAAGTGACCGCGTCCGTCAGGCCGGGGCAGGAGAGGTCCCGACCTCTGTGCTGCACACGGCCGACGTTGTGCACCGTCCTTCGACCCTGGGGTTGGATTTCACCCCGAGTGGGTCAAACCCCGCCGGCGACAGCGACGGGGAGCCTGGGGAGCTAGCAAGAGGCTGGAGGAAACCTCCTTCCTCTGCCTTCTCCGCCAGCGCAGGCAGATGCTGCAGGGGCTATTTCCAGCTCAGCCTCCCACAGCTCTCCCTCGTCCTCCCCCGAGGCGGAGGGAAGGGCTGTGAAGAGATGCGTCTGCGGTGCTGTGCGCGCGCCTGTGTTTTGCATTCGTGTCTGCAAAGCACGTGTCCGCTTGCACGTGTGTGGCTGGCTCGTGCATCTGAGCAGGGAGTGAAAGGATGCAGCTCCGTCTCCCCCGTGCCCTTCCCAGATTTCCAGCCCAGGTGCTGAGGCAGGCTGAAGAGCCCTGCTATTTTCACCCCATCTCCCTGACTGCAGCCCCGTCCCAGGGAATACAGAAGATCCCCACCACTAAGAGCCCAAACGGCCCCGCAAGGACCTGCTTGCCTGCTAGGAGCAACGTCTCACAGGCCTGGGGCCAGGAGAGGCTGGGTGGGATCTGAAAGGGGACAAGGAGACGTCGAGCCTCTGGTCTGATATCACCGAGCTCCGATCACACAGCCCTCCTGGAAGCGGAGGCAGGGGCGGATGCAGGCGGCCGCAGCGGGAGGGAGAAGTGGGGTCCTGGGGGATGCTGCTGCCCCGTTTCCAACACGCAAGGTCTCGTGCATTCTCCCACCCGAGCAGTGGGCACCCCCAGGCCCCAGCGTTAGGGGTCAAGGATGCAGAGAGCAAGGGCAGACTTACGGAGGAGGTACTCGGCCGTGTCCTGCTCGTAGTCCGCGTCTTCGGGGAAGTGGTCGATCTTCTTGCACATCCCGCGGAAAGTCCCTGCGGAAACACAAGCCCCCGGCACGCGTCAGGGACGTCGCCAAGGTCTCCCCGGGCGCTTTGATGCCTGCTCTGGGCACGGGCAGAGAGAAGGGCAGCAGTCGAGCTTGCACGGTCGGGGGGTGGCTATGCGGGCAGCAGGGCTGCGCTGGACGTCAGCGGCTCTGCGGTATCTGCCCGTGCGCTTGCTCCTATGCTGCTGCAATGGAAGTGAAATGGTGATGAAAGAGGGTTAAATTACCACGGTTTAGCTCCCACGTCCCACAGGGAAAGGCCACAGGCAGTCATCACGGAGCGGCTGAGAGCCGGGAAAGCTCCACGCGCCGTACCCCCCGTCAGCTCGCGTGTCCATGCCCTAGCAAACGCCGCTAGGACAGGCCACGCGGCCACACCGGCTGGTCCCTACCGAGATCTCACGTGCACTGGAAACCCCCGGGGATCCAGCACAGAGATCCTTCTCCACAGGCCTCTGCTATCCCCCGAGGCACAGAGGTTTCCATCCAGCTGCAACTCCGAGGGGCCGATAGTGGAGCTGCCTCCCACCGAGAGCTCATTGAGCTTCCACTTTCCAGCAAACAAAGCTCGGCGACCAGTTGACCTCTCCAGCGCACGAGGCTTATGTCTCTGCCGGCCAGGCCCCGGAGCGGGGGCTACTTAATGGCTTAATAACAACCCACCGGTGCAGGATTTGCTCTCTCTCCAACCCCTTGCTTGTGGGCAATCACGAGTCCCCTCAACAGGAGGAGGCTGAAGGGTGCAAGCGGGACGAGCTACCCAGAACAGCAGCGTGCGCGGCGCCGGGAAGCTCTCTGAAGCCTCCAGACTCCCATTCGCTCGCCCCCTCCTACCCTAGCACGCAGCACCTCCGCAGCCTGGCGTGCTTCCAGGGGGCCAGGAGTCGAAACTCATGGAAGAGGCGATATCTTTTATTAGACCAACCAGATATCTGCAAACACGTGATGTTACGTATTTGCAAGCTTTCGGGCACGCTCACCCTTCATCAGGCATAGGAGAGAGCAGAGACTGTAAAAGCTCTCCTAGGTAGCAATGAAATGAGGTCCGTGCACCAAACCTGGGCGTGACCTTGGGGGTTAGCTCAGCCGGGCGCTGGGCTGGAAGGGGCGTCTGGGCACCGACGCGCAGACGAGGCCTCCAGGGATGCCGGGTACGAGGGAGGGGCGCTCGTACAGCTGGCCGGTGCCCGAGGACGCACTCGTGACAGCTCTGGAGGGAAGCCGGAGAGCCTCTCGCCTCCCAGCCAAGGGTCTGACACGCTCCCGCTCTTCTGTCTTTGGCTTTCGCACAGACACACTGTCATTTGGGGGCTTTGCAAAATGCAACGCGCACCAGGACGCAGGTGGGGAGACGAAGGAGCAATGTGTAATCGCACGGCTCCCTGTTTTCCTCGCCCTCTCGTCCCATGGTGCAGTCGTGGGCTCCTGGGACCGGTGGAGCTGAGCATTCAGACGTTTCCCTTTCTGAAAGGACACGTCGACTCCCCTGGCGAGCACAGAGCTGTTTGCTGCTCACAGTCAGCGAGCATCTGCGACACGGCAGCTGGAAACCCAAGCGGATCGGGACCTCACACGGGTTTACGTTTGCTCCTTTTTCCCTACCCGCGAAGCAGAGCAGAAGGGTGTTTTAATGACCGTGTCCCAGACAACGTCAGCGCGGGTGAGCGACGGCCCCCTCTGCATCACGATGTGGGCTCCGCTCAGCCCCTGCCCACCCTCTCCCTGCGTCCCGGCTGGTCTCGTGCTACTATTTCCAGCTGGGTGAAGCGATGCCTGCAGTTACCCTGTTGGGACCACTTCACACGGAAACCGCTGCTCTACCTTTGACAAACCCTGGGCCCCGTTACCGCCCTGGCCCCCCCCTGAACGACGGCTCTCACAGGGTCAGGAGCTGCCTCTCCGGCACTCAGCAGCAGTTGCTCTGCCTGTGGCAGTCTGGTTGCTGCTCGGCGCTTACGTGCTGTCTGGGACTTGGATTCAGGTGAGTTTTGCTTCTGCTGGCAGTGAGACACGGACGTGTGCGTGCGAAGGCTGCCCACGCGCACCGCAGTGTCACAGCACGGACTCAATGCTCGGTGGACGGCAGGGCAGGAAGGAGCATTCGTTCTCCCCAGCTCGGCTCACATGAAGCAGGGCAGGTGCTGGCTGCCTGTCAGCCCCCCCACCCTCGGGGCAGATCCATCGCTTGGGGCGCTTGTACACAGTACGCAATGGTGTTGGTTGTTGATGGGGAAATGGATGCGTCTAGAGATCAAATCCCCCCCAGCCCTTTAACCCCAAATCCTCACTGTGGAACGGCATGTCCTGCAAGCTACCTCGCCGCCCGGGAAGGTGTCCCCAGGCTCAGCCTGGCTCCAGGGCCAGGCCCGCCGGCGTTATCTCCATGCACACTCGGTTCCTGGCACGCCCTGCTGGATCAGGGAACAAAGATGCAGCGCTCCCAGCTGCTGCTTGTGCCCAGCTCGGCCGCCCCAGAGCCCGGCAGCGCTTGCAGACCGCAGCACCTCTTCCCCCCGCGCGGCCTGGCTGCCCTCGCGACTTATCTGCAAAAGCAGCAATTTGGATCTCGCTGCCGGTCTACAAAAGGGCTGCGCAGTCAGCGATGCCGACAAGGAGCCTGAGCACGGGAGCAGCTTTGGCCAAACCTCTGCTGCAAGACTGTTTCTCCCAGGCTCCGTGCCCACGGCCCGTTCCCTGTCCCGTCCCCGTCAGCGTCCACGAGAGAACGACCGGTAACTTGGACAGAGACCAAGCTAGGAAACCACAAGAAAAGCCGCTCTTCTGGCACAGAGGCTGGGCTCAGCTACACAGATGGAAACGGAGAGGCCGGCAGCATCACCTTGCCGGGCCAGGAAGAGCAAGATTCCCCTCCTTTAAAAAAAACAAGTCCAATTTGCAGATGTACCCAAATAACAACGTTTCCGTGACGATTCATCCGGCCAGCTCTTTGCAAGCCTTTCTGGTGGGTACCACAGAGCCTCCCGGCTCAGCAGCTCCATGCTCTTCATGGAGAAGCCTGAAATTGCTCCCCTTTCATCCTAGACCTGAACGAAAACAGGCTGCAAACTCCTGCAGTTCACACAATCACAGAGGAACGGGCCTGGAAGGGACTTCGGGAGGCCACATCTGGTCCAAGCCCCGCCTGAGGCAGGACCAGCCCTGTCCAAACCACCCCGTACACATCTACTGCCCAGCCTCCTAGCAGCACTGCTCAGTCAGCCCTGGCACGGCACCCGGCATCACGCCCAACCCTGCCACAGTTAAACCAACGTCTTGCTGCTGCAAAGTTGTTAATACGTCGGATAGAAGGCCATGCCCCCCGCTACAGGGGAAAGCAAACCCTCCTCCCCTAGTCCATACCAATGTGACGGGGGGGAAATCCCTTCCTGCCCCAATGCAGCGGCAGTCTCACCCTAGGTGGAGGAGAAAGACGCGCTAGCCAGGACCTCTGGGTCTGGGTCTGAGTCCCAGCAGGAGCACTGGCACGACCAGTCCTAGGCTGCAGCCAGCACCTCTGAGAACGGCTTAAAAAAAAGAAGCAAAAACCCTGAAATAGCAGGAGGGGGAAAAAATCCTTCCCAACTCCATGTGGCAGCCAGCAAAGCTCAGAAGCCGGGGAAAGACCCAGAGTACAATATGGGCATCGCTACCCCTGGATCCCTGGGCACTTGTACACACCACGTGTTTTGGCCTTTCTTGCGCTGCAACTGCGTGGCTGGTTGCATGAGACACGTAGCAAACGGGCTGGAGCGATACTTATACCAACCTCCACGCCCAGCAGACACCTCGGGCTCTGCGCATCTCGGACGACTCCAGGCTCTCCCTGCTCCGGCTTCTCGAGCCGCGCTGAGGACACCCTGCATTTCGGGGGGTGTCACCCGTTCAGCTCAGCACTGACGGCGTGCAGCTACAATGCAAGCATGCGCACGGTCAAGCAGTTTAGCACGTAGAAAGCGCCCTCGTGGCTGTGCAAAGCTGAGGGTTATCTCCTGGCCCAGACCAACTTTAACAGGTCACTTCCTCCCAGTGATTTGCAGTCAGCTCAGAACTGGCCCTTCGCTGGGGCAGTGGAGGCGGCTCTGAGCCAGGATCGGAGGGTGGAGGGGAGCTCGCAGCCCAGTGCCCCCCTGCACACAGGCAGGATTTGCTGTGAATAAGCCCCCCAGGCAGACGCCCGCCCAGCCTCTGCTCAAAAGCCACCAGGGAAGGGGATCCCGCAGCTTTCCCAGGCAGCTTCCTCCTTTGTCCCGCTGCTCTGACAGGGAGGATGGCTTTTTCCTAAGACTTAATTTAAATCTGCTTTGCCGCAGTTTAAATCCACGGCTTCACGGCCTGCCCTCGGCGGCCAGGGAGAACAATGTTTCCCCGTCTCCTTTACCGCAGCCTTTCAAACACATGAAATCTGCTATCATGTCCTCCCCTTAATCTTTTCTCCACACTCGACACGGCGAGTTCAAGCTCGTCTTGCAGAGCTGCAGCCCGGTCCCTCTCTCATCTCTGCGGCTCACCTTCCAAGCCTCTCGAGCTTCCCCGCGTCCACAACTGGGCTCACGCCAGCCGAGGCCTCACTACTGCCAACGCCTTCGCCTTTGCTCCATTTCATTCGGCTGCACGTAGCTCACCTCTCCAATTTATCAAGAACGCTTTGAAGTTCAATCTTATTCAATCTTATCTCCCACTGTGTTTGCCACCCCTCCCGCTTCCAGGTCATCTGAGCATTTGATGGGTGCACTCTCCACGTCTGCATCCGTGGCTGGCTTCCAGGAGATCGCAGACCGGGATCTGTGCACAGTGCAAAGCTGTCCAGTGCCAGAAAGCTGCCCGCTCCGCGGCCCAGGGATGAACTGACCAGAAAGCCAACACGAGGAGGAGGAGGAGGAGGAGGAGGAGGAGGAAGCACTGAGGAAGAGGCCCTACAAGTCTGAATCATGAAGGGGGCGGCTGTGTGTGGAAACCCAGGATCGGGTGGGCCTGCATCACCTTCGT